AAGATAGAGAGAAATTAAAAAAATATTAAAAAATTTATTTAAAAAAATAGCTTTTTATATAGTATTAATAAAATTTATTACACATCATTGAGGGAAAAAATGTCATATAATTAATTCTCCATAAAATTTTACTTGAAATTTAAGGTTAAAAATAGCTGTGGCAATACAGTGTAACAAAAATCCATAGAACCACATTTGGCGTTATTATCGCTCAAAAAAAAGAAACGCGAAAATATGTAAATTTTGGTATATCTTAGAAAATTTTGAATAAAAAAGTCTAATTTTTTGCAGATATGCTTAAAAATACACCTACTTTAAGATGATGGTAAAAATTTTATAGGTTATTATTCAAAATTTTTTTCGAAAAATTTATAAAAATTATTCAAAAATAGAAATTTAAAAAATAAAACACAAAAAATGGGTAAATTTTATTTGGAATGAACCTAAATTTCGAAATGTGAGAGAAAAAATAAAAAAAAGTTAATAAAAAAGAGGTATAAATAAATATTTGCCAAATTCAATTAACATTGAGGAGCTAAAATTTTGAGAGCTAATATTTCAAAAACTACTCGTACGATTTTTTACAAAACTTGGTATTCTGGCATAATTTGAGTCGTAGAATCAAAATATGTAAAAAAATTGGTATGTTATTTCAGAAAAAGTCTGATTTTGTGTCAAAATACCTATGTTAGAATAGTGCTATATATAAATAAAATATATATCCTAAGTCGCGCTTTCGAGACATGAAGAACGCAATTTGAATTTCGTGAATCGCCCCAGTAGAACGGGAGATATAGCACTGCCCCTTTTTTTTTTTTTTTTTTTTGAGCAGTGTATATGAGGGTTTACTTGATCTGGTAAAAGTTAAATAGTCGAAAACCCCCAACTGATGTGAAGCAAACTATCGCTATGTCTGAAAATAACTAAAATATCAGACAAAGGTTTAAATAAAACTCTTATATAAAAAGAACATAGAATACAAAGGCATGTTCTGATGCTAACAAAATCATTTACAGCTCATGGTGATGTAATTAAACAAGAACAAATTCAAACTAAAAGTGTGGACTAGTGGTCGTAGATTATATAATTTAATTTTAATTTAATCTGGCTCAGTAACTCTATCACATGAGGAAATAGAAATGGAAAATTATAGTAAAGGCTGAAATCATAAACAATTGGGTAATTTACATAATAATAACTGCATATTTCTTTGAAGAATAATTTTCTTTGTCTGTACTATTTTCTTTCTTCAACACGTTTTCCTTTTCATTTTAGAATTTTTGGATTTAATTAAAGATTTCCATTATTCTAAAAAACATGAAATGCATTTAGAATGTATAGAAAATGGCTAATTTTATTTCTTTAGTAATATGAACATTCAGAAGAAATATATATGGTAAAGGCCGGTTACAGAGCCATTGTGGCAGAATTTTTAGAATTTAGTGACACACCGAACAACAAAATCTAGAAATGGCACAACTTTTAGAATTTAGAGCAGGCATTGGAAGCAGAATTTAGGCTCCACATAGATTGCATCAGGTGGGAAAATGCCTAGTGCCAGCTCTGTGTATGATGCATTAAAACATATTAGATGAATCTTTTAAATTGTAAGTTTTCAATTTCTTTATTAATAAAAAAAATCCCTTTCTATAATTTGCCTGCCCATGTGACAAGATTAGAAGCATTTTTGTTATTTTCCATGCTTGTGTCTAGTGAAAAGTAGAGAAAATAAAGGGAAGATAAACATGTTAAGAAAATGATTTTAGTATCAGGAGTAAAACATTCAAATATTATGTTTCATTGTTCTTCCAGACGTTCTCCAAAAAGTAAGAAATTCATCGCAAACTTTCAGTAAAATACATCCATTACGTGTTGATACCATGGAGACGTTTTTCATATTTCTCGAATTTTCTAGAATTGTGGATCTATAAATCTTGCCTTCAAATCCTTCTAAACTTTCCAAGCTGCAATGGCTAAAATACTAAAAAAAATTATCCCTACCAATTCAGTAACAGCAAAAAGCCAAAATATTTTGGAAAAAAAAGGAGGGAAAAAGTGTAAAATTAATTTTATAGAGAAAACTGATACATATTCTGAGAATTTTGAATATTCTGAGACAATTACATGGGAAAAACTTTTACAATGAAAAAATTAAAAAGAAGATATTTTTAACTAATTACATAGCTAATTTTGCTTTTGCTAAGAGCCATTTCGTAAATTGTGCTTTATAGCATTATACCTTCTTTATTTTTCAGGTCAAAATATTGTATAATAAGTTGAAAAAATGAGATTTTATAATATGATAGTGAAAATTAAAAATGTTTTATTTTAATGCTATTTTTTAAATATAATTTCAATATATTAAGTTTATTTTAATGAAATTTATCCATGTTAGGATGTTTTTAAAAAAAATCATCCAAAAACTCTAAGATCTTGGAATTAAAAATTTTCTATAAACTGATCTTAAAATCGCCAAAATGAGGATAAGTCGCAAAATTTAGAACCTTTTAATAAAAGAATTCACATCTCCAAAAGCGAAAAGTTGTTTAAGAACTCTTTATTAGAGAAAATGAATTTAAAAATGCTTATATCTCACTTCTTGCTTAGAAACTCAAGTATCCCATCGATTATATTAGAAATAGAAACAAATTATAACCCATAAACCCATTCAAAAGATAACCATATATGCCAGTGAATTGCCGAAAATATTCCTCCAAAATGCTAATTCACACTCAAAATGGCAATTGTAAAAAGAAACAGAAATTTCAGATGATTAAAATTAAGGACCTTCTGCTGATTTTGGCCAAAATTAAGGACTTTTAAGGACCGAAAATTGATTCCAAAAAATTTAAGGACTTTTAAGGACTCTTAAGGACCGTACGAACCCTGTATTTACTGAATTAGAGAAATTATTAGCACAAAAAAACAAAGAAAATTTAACAATTTACACTGAAAGAAATATTTAATAAAGCAAACAAATCAATTTTGGGCTCCTTTTTTTAAGGGGGTGTAAATTTTTATTCTTTTAAGGCCATAAATCACTATTTCATGTTTTTAACTTTATAAATTATACATGTCACCTTAAAAAATTTAAACTGATGATCTAATATACGGAAAAATCTCAAATTCGGAATTACCAAAGACCTGACGAGTCCAGACCTCAGACTTCGTACTGTAGTAATTTGAAATCAATACTTCTAAATTATGCTTTTTTAGCAAAAAAGAAGTCTTGTTGAAATTCACATCTGAATACTCATTATAGATGTTTTTAGTAATGATATTCATACAGTCTCCCACACATTATATTCTTGAGTAATTCTGATTCCATAAAAATGGACTTTTCTGAGAGATCACTTGCTACTTTAATTTGGCTACCACTTCTTTGACAATTTTTCTTCGCTACAGAATACATATAAAAAATTACATTTTTTGCATTTGCATTAAAAGGTATTATACGATAAAATCCACCACAGAAGACCAAATTTGTCATACTTATTTGAATCACTTTTTAAATTATAGTCTGCTATTTTAAAACAGGCATTACAATACTGTAGAAAAACCTTCCTAATTTATGATCGTTATGTGCATCATCAGCACCACACAAAGTGATTTAGGAAAATTTAGCAAATTAGAGGATTCAACATATTTTCCATAACTGTCATTACCATGATTATTAGGCTTAAGTCAGAAAAAAATGGCCTTAAAGTGCCTATTAGTTTATTTATATTGTTAGTGCTATAACTTAGTTGTGTAAGCCTCTGGTACATATAGTGGAACATGAGGATTTGAAATGAGAGTGTGCCTATCTTAAATTAACAAAACTACAGAACCTATGACAAACAGTTCAAGATATTTTTCATTACTTAATCCTTTTAAAATATTGTATATGATTTTTTTAAATATTAGTGGCAATTAAATTATACATTTTACTAAAACATTAAAGTTAACTGATTGCTTCAGATGGTCAGTCACTGGCCTACTGTTTATCCATTCCTGGAATTTCTTCCCAGATAACCTAGGTGCAATTAGAGAGGAACAGGAAGAACATTTTCATCAAGGCATGGTGTATATTTAATGGGGGAAAAAAAAGATCCATGGCCAACAGAATATTAATGCAAACAATTTATTGCTGGATAGTATACCATATAATTCTGGAAGCCGATGCCAACTAAAAAAAAAAAAAAAAAAAGGCACCTTCCTAGAAAAAGACTGTACTAAATCTTTGATCTAAAAATAAAACTTTTTTTTGACTTATTATTAAGTCAAAATAAAAGTTTTATAAATAAAAGTTTTTGTTAATTCCTCTGTTCTCTTAACCAGTTGTAAAATATGCTTCATGTGATAATTCTTCATTAAAGGTTATAAAAACTGCATAAGATAAAATAAATCTATTGATTCTAAAATATAAACTGAAAGGCACTGTCTGATCCATGAAAATGTAAATTCGAAAGCAATATCAATTTCAAGAAATGATGGGCCTCCCATCTTCTAATAAGATAATACAAGGCCACATGCTGCACGTTGTATTCTGACCTTCCTCGATACACAGGGTATTCGATTGCTGCCCTGACCTGCACGGTCTCCAGATCTGTCACTCACTCAAAACATCTGGTGATGAGTTGCTGAGAGACTGGCCCGCCACTCCTCTCCAGCTAATACGGTTGATGAAGTCTAGCATAGACCTTGAAGCAGAATGGAATGAGTTGCCCATTTCTGTCACCCAAGCCCAGTTTGACTCCATGTCTAATGGGTTAAGGCCCATTTTAGTGGCCAGGGTTCGCAGCTGTTTCTACTAATTTCACACCCCTGTAAACCTCCAAAATGCTTACTTTTTTATCCAATGCAGGCACTTGCCTAATCAGCATTGGCCATCCTTTGGGCAGCTGTTTAAGAAACCGCAATACATATCACTATTATCATTCATCTTCAGAAATTAAGAGAAGGCAATATATTAAGATCAAAATTTATAAAATAAATAAATAAATATATAATACTCTTACCTTCAAAGAGTGTTTTCAAGAAAAATTCCACAGTATATAATTGTCGATTACTAAGTCCAAGTTTAAGAACTTCAATATCCATATGAATATTGCTCCAGTTATTTAATAATGCAAGTTCTTCAACAACACCATCACTTGGATAAATCATAAGCTGTTAAGGGAAGGGAGAAAATTTAGCAAATTTTTATAAATATTAAATATTTATTAATGCTTGATTACAGCTGTTTAATAGCATATACAAATCCCAAGCTTTACTAAATTACCTTGACAGCTTTCATTTTAGAATTTTTTTTAAAATAAATGCATTAGGTTTGTTAGCTTACTTCATTAACAAGCTTGTCCTGTTCAATGTCATATAACAGCAAAGATATTTTATTTTCAGTTAATAATAAAACAGGATAAGGAACTTCTTCACATCCACTTGTAATCAGGTACGGAGGATGGGAAAGGCTGTAATATTTTGATAATGATTAAACATGTATTCTGATTTTTATGACTTTTAAAGAAACTGATAGAAATAATATAGACACTATAATGTTGCACAATTCCTTTATTTATTAAAATTTGAATTTATGCCATTAACTAAGCAATTAATAAATTTGGGATTTCTTAAAAATTATTTCACAAAAACACCTACATTATTTATATTTAATTCCTATACATAGCATTTTCAATTTCCTTTGGAATAAAAAAATTAATATGAAATGCATATAAAAGCTACTTATTTTTATTTTAATTAATTCAAAGCTGAACATACAGAAAAATTTTGATTTTTTTTTTTTTTTTTTTTTTTTTTTTTTTTTTAAACTTACTGATTACATAAAAAATATTTCCAATTCCTTTTTATATAGACATATTTGTTAAAATAGATATATGTGTAACTTTCGTGAAAAATTCCAAAACATTAAGTTATAACATTACTCCATTAAGATGTAGTATGTGACGTCAGTTAGATGGGGCTTATTTACTTTTTTAAAGATGCCACTAAAATTTATTGTTGTTTTAATGACTTTTGTCTCCCACCATTTTACTGCACATCTGAATATGAATGCTACTGAATTTTTTTACTTTATGATGAATTTTTTAACTGAATTTTTTTTACTTACTTATTCTAGAATTATGAACCTACTGAAATTGAAGCATTTTGAATTTAATGGATTATTAAATTAATTAATGGAATCTGCTTCATTTATGTATTCTTAATTATATGTATTTATTTTCATATCTAAAAATAGCCTTTAGAAGCACCATCTAAAAAATAAATACTCACTAAAAGCTGTAGGTCACACACTAGATAATTAATCATTATTCTTATTATATTAGTTATACATACAACTATTTAAGACTACGATTTTACACTTAATTTAATAAAAAATATTAGTATTAATTTTAATTGCAGTTTACAGTAGCACTCTAATTTATTTCAATACTTATTTAATTCAGTAATTAATTCCCATATTAAAATACAGTCAAAAGTCGTTAATTCGGACACCTATAATCCGGACCTCAAAACTGCGCATAGGCGTTTACGTGTGCGCGTAAGACCTTTACGGCTGCAAATATGCGTGTGCGCATAAAACGTTTACGTATGCACGTTTAATGTATAACGGACGGTATAAACCAAGCTAAAATTATCTAATTCAGTTAATGTTGCAGATTGCGTTGTTCCTTTATCTTCGAATTGGATACGGCGTATTATTTTTTGCAGACTGTTAGAGCAATTTTATAAAAGTAAGCTTGAACTTTCGATTATATCAAATAGAATTTCCGATATATATTTGCTCATATGTAAAGGATCTAAAAGCGAAAGTATGTTTCGAGATCCGAAATCTGTTTATCAATTTCACGCTGCTCTGTGGGAGGGGGGGGATGTCGCAGCGCGCAATGAACTGGAAGTTGATCTGTCAGCACTAAATCCTCATCATTATAAATATCATGAATGCACATCAAATACTTTTCTGGTTGCAATTTTCTAATTTCAACTATGCGTAATGCATGCTTTACACATGCGCGCGTTGAAAGAAATGTTTAATAAAATAATAAACAAATAAATATTAAGCTTTTTTTTTGTAAATTTTTATACCCTTTAGATCATAATTGCTCTTTATTTCAGAAATTACGGTTTCATATTTTTAATTTTATAATTTCTGCATGCCATCTTACCAGATTTAAATTGATGATCTATAATCCGGAAAAACCAATAATCTGGAATCGCCGAAGTCCCGACGAGTCCCGATTAAAGACTTTTGACTGTAGTTATATGTCTATATTACTATAGGTTATAGTTACAAATAACTATTCTCTACGTTCATGAATATAAATTATACTCTGAGCACAGAATAATTTAACTCAGAGTTTTGAATACTTTTCCTATTAACACTTTACTGACCGCTAGCAGTTCAACAGCATACGCACTCTGACTAGCCGCTCAGCCGCAGATTCTCCCAGTCCTGAATAACTGTCAGGACAATCTGATAAATCGTCTAAATAAAACTCTCCAGTACCATTTTTTTCGCTCACCGCTAATGGTAAATTTTTTCAAAACGGGGTGAAAATGTGGGAGTTTATGAAGCAACACACTTAACGTAAGTGAGCAACGTATCTCAATATTAATAATAAAATGCAGATGATATAGCAAATGGCAATTGTTTATCACCATGGCTACCGATTGATAGACTATTTTTTAGGTAGCTCCGAGAAAAAAGCGATTAATAGGCTATCGGTCGGTAGGTGTTGGAGGGGAAAAAAGCTGATTAATAGTCAGTAAGCGTTAGTGAAAATAGCCGATTAATAGGCGATCGGTCGGTAGGCATTGCCGATAAAAAGCCGATTAATAGGCTATCAGTCAGTAGGCATTGGCAATAAAAAGCTAATTAATAGGCGATGGGTTGGTAAAGTGTTAAGACTAAAAAATAATACAACCAACGTCCATTAAATAAATTAATAGACTTTAAGGTATATTTTTCTTACCTTTTACATACAGTGGGCTCATCTGCACACAGAATGTGAATCCCGACTAAGAAGTCATGAACACCATGATATATAAAGAACAATTTATTTTCAAGAATAACAAAATCTTTTAAAACGAGGTCTTTAGTATCACATGTAAAAGTCACTGGTTGAATAGAGCCATAAAAAGCAGAAAATCTTCTTAGACCATCATCCAATCTCCTGACCGAGGGAAACTGTTTTGTAAATGCTGTGATACCACTGGAAGTCTGAGAAGTGGAATTCTCTAATGTTTGACTAGATAGGTCTAATGGCATGGAATATACCTGCTGGTTTTCTGTAACAAATATCAAAGTGTCTAACCTCAAATTCACAGTAAAATTTTGTACAATTTCATTTTCTGTGAACTTAAAGGTATTATCCGAAAACTGATATTCAAATATTTTTGCATTAGTTGAAAAAGAATAAACAGCTGAATAATTCAGGTTAAAGAAAAATCAAATAATCACAACAAAGTATTATACAGTAAAGTACAGTTTATAAGTTTTTCAAGATACTGCTTTAAAAAAAAGGGGGTAATAAGAAAAATATACAGTCAAAATTTCAGTTTAAGAATGAATTCATACATTTTAGCAGCATAATTTTAATGCTGCTATTATACAATTTTATCATCGTACTTTTATAGTGTTTAAAATATGTTCTATATTTTAGAAAAGTTAAAATATTTGGGACTTACATATTTTCCTGTCGACGATTTTTGACAAATAAAAACTGTCATTAAAACAATGCAGTTTAACAGCAATAATGAATAAGCATGAGAACACAATACACTCATAAGACCTCTGTTTTGGTGTTATATAACCTTGATCCTCAATATGGCAGTTTAGTTTTTATAAAAGAGGATTTAAGTTAATTGCTATTTCTCTGTTTTCCACTACTTTGAACCTGCTTTTTGTAGAACAGCAAGCAGCAGAACATTTTCAAAGTTAAGACTAGTTACACTGTTGCGCATATTCATAACAGTGGTTTGGCAAAATGGAACAATAAAAGACACCACGAAACTGCTTGTTGACACATATTTTATATTCAATTTCACACAGAAAATAGACTTTAAGGTATATTTTTCTTACCTTTTACATGTTCAGTTCTGTTACTATTAGAAATGTCATTGAGGAATTTTTGCTATCGGAATGAACTGGTGTTACTTTTAATGAATTTGTTTGTCATATAATCTCAAAGCTTAAGCTCATATTTATTGAATTTTTTTATATGCTGTATCAGTAACGTGTATATGTTGGTTATCAAATTAAATAAAGAGTGATCTGTTCCTTCAAACTTCTGTTGGAATGGCTGGCACAAATTTGATGGGATCTCAGCCAACTTTAATAGTTGATGGAAAAATATGCAAGTACCAAACATTTTATTTTGAAAGTTTTAAAAACATAAAGTACATAATAAAGCTTAATTAAAAAATTTTTAATTTAAACTATATAATATTTAACATAAAAATGCAAATGACCATAGCTCAATTTCAATTGCTTATCTTGAATAATCTTGAATCTTAAGATTTTAATTTTTCCCAAAGGAAAAGTCTTCCAAGTGTCATCTGTTGCACTGCTTGACTGAAGTGCAAAAGGTAAATAATAAAACCAGTTAAAACATGCTTATTAATCATGCAAGAATGAAAAATCTCCATCAGCATGCCTGCTTTATTAGCTAATTTCATTCTTTGCTATTTCTTCAAGCAATCTTTCTTCTATCCACCTGTCAGATATTTAAATCTTAGCCCATCTGAGACACTCCAGATCTTTCTTTTCCTTCTCACATACCAATGAGAAACTTTCAAATGCTATTCAAAGAAAACAAAAACGATTTTTAAAAAAATTATAGAAGTTGTGTAAAGAAATATCATTCAATAAGTCAGGGAAAAATAACATTCAATGTTACGATCATATAAACAAAATATTTTGCTGTTCATATTTTGCAATAGCAATGAATCCAAGAAAAAAAAGTTGCATAAATGCAGGAGATGTATAAATGACTGTTTTGCTATACTGTAAGACCCCTCTTGATGCTGCTCCACTTAATGCTGTTTCAGTATTACACAGCAGTATCAGGACTTGCCAAAATTGCATGCATATAATCATCACTTAGTTATCGCAATGTGGGTACTTTTTAATCAATCAGCACAATTTGTTTCACAGTGTCCGTATCTTGCCAATTTTACTGTTGGTCTCAAGGTAAGCACATCAAGGTGATAGCCACAATATCATTACAGCATGTTTACTATGTCATAGTTGATTTATGATCATTTATGATTTTACAGCATTATTCAGAGTCTAGAGATATAAGCATAATATTTTGTTTTATTGGCAATTTTTAGTTCTTACAATGGATGATTGCAAAGTAAAAGAACGGTAAAGGGGGGAGCATTTTGCAGGGAACTAAAATGCACGTGTCCAGATGATTATATACATATGAACTGCAATCCAATATTGGCACAGCATTGAATTTGTCTGCTTCAACAATGCATATAATTCTAAACAATAAAGAAACAATCTTATCAATAACTACAACCACAATGACTTCTGGAACAAAAATTACACATTCCAAAAGCAACATGAATGAGGAAATGAAAAAACAACTTTCCGTCTGGATTGGTGATGAAGATGAATGCATATGCCATTAAGTCAAGCAATTATAATGGAAAAAGGGAGAACAATTTTTAACCATACTCAAAATGAAATGGGCAATACAAGTGAAAATTTTGTAGCTTGTCAAAGGTGTTTCCATTGATTCAGAAACAGAAACAAGCTTCATAACGCACATTTTTATACCATGAAGAAAAGCAAGCACCAGGATTTAAATCTGCAAAAAATTGTTTAACACTTTGGTGATGCTAGTGATACATTTGGTAACACTGGTTTAACGTTTGGTAGTAATGCTAACAGAGACTACATAAAACCATAATTTTTTTATCCTTTCAAAACTCCAAGAAGTAATATGGGAGCTCAGTAAGTTCCAAGGCAAGGCGAAGTGTCATTGATGTGACATCTTGTTATCCATAACTACATGCTGAATAAGACAGGAAGAGGCAAACAACATTAAAATAACTTCTTTAGAGAGAAAAAAGTCAAATAAGAGTGAAACTCCCATCAAACACTTCTTGAACATTTTTTTAATTTAATGAATGCTTTATGAATAAAAATCAATATTAGCTATAAATATATCTGTAATTAAAGCACTGAAAAGTATTTAACAATAAATGTTACCAAATAAAGCCAAAAAAAAAACATAAATTTTCTTAGTCTCTGCTCTGTTTTACTTATCCCCATTATTTCACATTAAGATAACCTCTTTTAAAATTTTGTTTAGAGCTGGACCTTACTGAAACATATCCCCCATATTAAGCAGTGTCTTACTGTTACATGCAAATTTCATAAATTACATTATTTATCTTGGATTGCACATCAAAGAGACAGAATTTCTTAATTCATGTAAATAATACTAGGATAGTTAATACTGATAAAAAATCTCCTACCACAAAAAGACTATGTTATTTTGTAGAAAAGCAAACATACCAATTTGAAATTGCATTTGTTATGCCTCAATATTAATTGTCAGAAAAATTTGCTCAAGGAAACAAGATTATAAATGTAGATTATGATAAAGAACATATCACTGTTATTATTGGAAAAGTCAAACAACGGTTAGAGTACACTGAAGGGTATCCCTCATATTATCACAAAGTTGTTGTTTCATTTATTACCAAGTTGTTGCTTTGCTTATTACCAGGTTATTGTTTCATTTATGGTAACCTAAGTAGTTGAATGTTCCATAAATATACTGTTACCTAGAATTGGGTGCTCCTTTGACTTTTTATGTGAAAATTTATCGATGTGTACATGGACAAAGTCAAGGGAGTGGGCAATGCCAAGTTTGTGCAATTCTCTGATTGTTTTTAAGTGATGATAGGTCGATGTGTACATGGATAAAGTCAAAGGAGTGCGCAATGCCTAGTTTGTGCAATTCTGTGATTTTTTTTAATGAAAATAGGAGAATGTGTACATGGATACTGAGTTTGTGCAATTCTTTGAGTTGTTATTTTGTCTTTGTGTAGTACAATTTTTAGCGCTAAAATCACTGCTACACAAAGCCAAAATAACAATTCAAAAATTGAATACACTTGGTATCCCTATACTGCCAAAAATCGCTAATTTCACCAAGGGGTACCCGCAAATATACTTTAACCCAAACAAGAGTCAACATTATATTTGTAAATTTTGCAGAACTAGTTTCGATGGTTTAACTACATTGGAACTAGTCTTGCAAAATTTACAAATATTAAACTGATTCTTGTTGTTTGACTTCCCCAATAATCTGATTTGCCATTTTATTTTAACCTATATTTAACCTGATATGCTATGCATCCACCATACTATTATTGAACCAAAAAATTATATGGAATTTTCTCTGAAAGATGCTAATGTAAATGCACATACACACATATTTAAAAAAAAATAGATATAGATGATGTTAGAGTTTAGAGAAGACAGGCTTGATGCTGTTTGGAAACAGGCAACTTGAATGCTTTCCTAATTTATCTAGCATATTTGCTTGTATTTTTAATACATCACATGTATAGAGTGTCCATAATTAAACTTGAAATTTGTGAGCAGTCTGTAGCAAAAACTATGCAGCAGAATTGCATGAAAATTGGGTAATAGCAGAGCGAAATTGTGGTAATTTTATCAAGAGCGAAAACCAATGACTTTCAAAAACCACAACTAGATGGCATTGTGCAATGTAAACTATAGTCATATGCAAATGTCATAACCATAGTAATCCTGTGCGCGCACAGCAACCCTATAAAGGTGCAAAAGGCACACCGCAGTCATACTCGTTTGCAAGTCAAGGAAGATGACGTTGATTCTCCAGGAATGTGCTTTACTGGTGAAATTGTTTTATCAAAACGGACACTAGTGAAGGACTAACAAACATGATTAGAAAATTTGAAGCAACTCGAATACTGAGGATTCAGCCAGGAAGGAGACGAAAGTGTGTTGCAGCACAGGTAGTGGATGATGTAGCAACGCAAGTGGAGGAAGACAGATCGCAAACTATCGGCAGTACTAGTGTTCGGTGTATTGCAGCATCTGTTGACCAACCTCGTCCCATGGTTCATAAGATTTTTCAAAAGGTCTTACGTCACTATCCCTAAAACTGTTGCTAGTGCAGTAGCTCTTATGAGCTGATCTGGATAGTCGACAAACTTTTGCATTAAGGTTTCTTGCGCGAGCTGAGTTCCATGATGAATAGCCATGGAACATTTTGTGGAACGACAAAGCTCACTTTCATATGGAAGGTGCAGTTAATACACACAGATGCCATAGTTGGGCTGCTACAAATCCACATCAATTCCTACAAGTTCCATTACACTCTTTGCATGTAACAGTTTGGTGCGGCTTTACTGCAACCTTCATTGTGGGTCTGTTTTTTTTTTTTTTTTTTCCGAAGAGCACAGCGCCACAGGGCCTGCGACATGCACCGTCACCGGTCAATGATACACTTCATTATTAAACCAATCCGTTATTCCGGCTCTTCAGGCAAGGCGATGTGAAATAACTACAGTGTTTATGCAGGATGATGCTCCTCCACACATCACCCATTGTGTGAAACAAGTGCTCCGGTGCCTTCTCGGTGACGACAGAATCATCAGCCGGCAATTTCCTACAGCTTGGCATCCTAGATCCCCCGACTTGAATCCTTGCGACGCTTGGCTGTGGGATATACCTCAAGGCTATCGTCTACCATGATCCCATTATATCTCTATCTGATTTTAAAGAAATCATAAAATGGCATGTAAATAACATTCCCCAGTTCATGTTGCTTTCTACAGTAGAACATGCGATTTTACACCTCCAAATGGTAGCAGACAATGGTGGACATCATATCCATCATATTTGTAAACTTTTGTAGATTATGTATATGTTCTCAATAAAGCTATGATATGCCACTTAGAGGTGGTTTTTGAAGCTCATTGTTTTCCCCCCTCGATAAAATTCCCATCATTACATTCTGCCATTACCAAATTTTCATTCAATTCCGCCGTATAGTTTTTGCTACAGACTGCTCGCAAATTTCAAGTTTAATTATGGACACCCTGTACATTTGCCTTAAAGTTCAAAAATAAAAATCATGTAAAAATTCGGTGCATTTGCAGTAGAATGACTAGCCGGCTGAAGGTACTTCTTCCAGTCAATTAACCATTTAGGGGTCAGAAAAAGAACACGAAGAACATACAAAAATAAATATGAATCTAGAAATAATATGTGTATACATATATGTCATATTCTGAAGCACAGCCATGATGGCTGGAACTCTTAAACAGCTTTCGTTTTCCGCCATGGTTTCCGCCATGGTTAAGACATACAGATGCAGGCAACAAAACTGAATTTTGACAAATCACCAATCCTTATTTTCACACATATCCAATTACTTGGGCAGATATTTATTTAATTGTAATACAACATACATGCATATTACAGAAATTCAGAGTATTTAAAAATATGTGCAAATTAAAAAAAGAAAAAGGACATATCTAAAGAGATAATCAGAAGTTATGAATTAGCCATTTTAAATCTAAAATGGTCTGGATCAGAGTAATATTAAGAGGCCCACTAAGTGAAAGATTTAAAAAACTTTGTAGCTTTATATTATGTCTTTGTAAACATTATACAATACAGTAAATTCACATATTCCTCTTTTTCTTTTTATCTACTGGACTCGTGCATCTTGTTGTTGTTGCAGTAGAAATAGGAATAATAGTAGTGGTGGTAGTAGTAGTAATACAATCTAATTGCACAACATACACACACACATATATATATATGTATATACACCATATGAATTATTTTTACCTGCACAGTTACAAAATGATGCTAGTAACTAAATATACAATTATAAAAGGATACAAAGTTTTGTTCCTGAGTCATTTAAAGCAAAAAGCATCTCTTTCATAAGGAGAACTTTCCGATGTGACAAACTACTTTCAGAAAGATCTGAAATGGACATAATCTGTGGGTCACCATCAGTTGATGGAAAGAAGGAAACCACAGTTCTTTTGTTGAACAGGAAAACTGCTTCTCTAGCTTCAAATTTCAGAATCTCAACTGAAGACAAATCTGCAAGACCTAAAATACAGTTCTTATTTTTAACAGATTTCCCCCCTAAGCAATAATAACAAAACACATTATGAAACTCATAAAATATAAATATGAAAATACATATGTGATTTAATCACATATTTGTATTTAACTACTACTATTATACTTCTGAATAAAAAAGAATAAAATTTAATTAAAAATTAATCAGAATATTAAGGAAAATAATAAATAGCCTCTTTTTTAGTAATTAACAAAAAATAATTATTAATTAAAATAAGTAATATTGCCACTTACATTTTTTGAGTTCTTGAAAATAGGAAAAAATATTTTCCAGATTCCATATGGATGAAAATGATTTTGTCAAAGAGGATATGCAGTTTTCTGTACATGTAACTGTAACTGCATAATAATAAATATTATTTTGAATATCAACAATGAAAAACCTGTATTCATTTTCATTGTAATTATCTTCTTGCCAAGCAAATCTAAAAAACAGAAAAAGTTCTCAATAAACTTATACAATTAGTGCAAGGAGCATAAATACAGTTAATTTCACTTAAAGAATTTTAAAAAATAGAATAACTAAAGAAAACTAAAGTTATGACAAATTCCTCCTTACATATTATACAGAAAATCCTTGAAGAAAAGGAAACTATGAAACTGCCCTAAAATGCACACAACTTTGTTAGAAAATATTTAAAATCAATCAACTTTTTTTAGAAAATCAAAATTATTATTAAACTGAATTTTGTATTGTTCTAAAGCTCAAAGTACTTTAAATAAGACAAACATTACTAATTCAATGTTCATAATATACATGTCACTTCTTAAAACTGTTTAAAGATAAAATAATATTAAAAAAATCTGAAAAGTTTCAAATTTTAATGTTTGTCCAAAGGGAAGGCTTTTTTACACTCTCGTTGAATGCAGACCAACTAGTCTGTTGTTACACTCACTCCTATTAACACAATTTTTTTCTTTTTAACTTTATTATTAAGCACCATTTTCTTCACATTTATGCAATATTCAATTAAGCAGCAAAATTAGAAAATTTTTTAAAAGAAACATAATATATGTTTAGAGCTCCCAATGCAGCGATAAGTGCTGGCGAAAATTTTTCTGTTTTTTTTTTTTTTTTTTTTTTTTCAATCTTTTCTTTTTAGTTTGTCATATCAATGTTTCATCTTTCAGTTAATATCCAAACCAAGTAAAAAATTTAGCTACTTTACACCTATACATACAGGCATGAATGAAGTTCCATGCCTATGATCATTATAATATCAGTTTGTATGTTAATTTGACATCATTATGTGATATGTATCATTACATTATAACTGAAGATTTTAAAATATAACTAAGCCATTAATAAATTTCAAAAGAACTATATTTTGAAATAAATTTTGATAATAAGATCCTATTTCACAATATAGATATACATTAAACAGTTAAAATCTACACTTACGATTTCACTTTGTGTATTTGCAAATGATTACAATGCGTGTTTATTAAGGTAATTGAAAGATTCAAATTTGTATCGTGTATGGCAAGTAATTTTGAGTCCGAAGTTGTGGTAACAGATTGGACATTTTCAAACTTATATGAAAGTTCTTTGATCAGGAGAATTTCTAAAGCCATAGAAACGACTATGCAAGAACGACACTACTCCAATGTCATGAGAAAATATACTTCGTGAGTTTATGTTTACATGATCCTCCCCGATACCAAAACATCAACACAACATAAACATGTGATAGTTAGACATCTCTGATCATTTCACTTCATTGATCTGAAAAAAAAAACTGGAAATAATTTTCTCGTTAAGTGCATATAGTTTCAAACAACTTTATTTACTAAATTTTATGAATTGTGAGTTAATATGCTTTAAAATGCAACAAATGAAGTTACCCTTATCTTTTCAAAGAGTGTATCCCGTTTTACCTTCGATATCATTTACAAGTCTATTTACAAGTCTAATTAAGTGTTAGTTTTAGCTTTGTCACCTAAAATATAAATAAGCTAAAATAGAATCGTAATATTAACTGTTTGTGTTGACGAGATGTCTTTCATTGGATAATTGATTGTATACTCATTTTCCATCATAATTCTTCTGATATCGAAGGTAAAACGGGACATCTGGCGTCCAACGAGGACTACGGCTGCATTTTTAAGAGTGAGTGAAAAAATATTTTTATATTTTCTTTTATTCTTTGTGCATTATGGATATTGTTTTGAAAGATAGAAAGCAACTTAGAAGGTTGTTTACTCGAGCATGTAATACTTTTGATGAGGAAGAAATCAAATTAAATCGTGCTGATAAAATTAATAAATTAAAGCTAATTGAAGAGAAAGCTTTATTAATGATAGCATGTGAAGAGAAATATAAACATTTGTTGTATTCTGAAAATACTTCCGATACCGAAATAGAGAAAGCGGTAGATGAGTCAGAAATGTATATTGATCGATGGAGATCTTTAAAACAGAAGCTAGAAACACTAGTGAGTGAACAATTATCTTCTAAAAATGAAAATTTGAACATTGTTTCGCAGCCGAACACTTTATTACGTTACCCAAAAATAAAATTACCTACTTTTGACGGTAGTGTAAGAAATTGGCTATACTTTTGGGGTCAGTTTCAAAAAATTGATGAGGACATTAATATCGATTTTCACGATAAATTTTCGTATTTATCTCAAGCAATGGAAAAAGGCAGTCCTGCTGAAGAATTAATTAAGAGCTATCCCCCAGGGGGTAATAGTTAGTTACGAAAAAGCTTTAAAACAGCTGAAAATGCGTTTCGGCAGAGAGGAACTATTGATTCAGGTATATGTCAGAGACTTATTAGTATTAGTTCTTCAAAAACAGAACACTTCTAAAAATTCATTAAGAAAATTGTTCGATCAACTTGAGAGTAAACTGCGATCACTTGAATTATTAGGTGTTACTAGGGAAAAATATGCTGCAATGCTTTTTCCACTAGTTGAATCATCATTACCCGAAGAAACTCTTGTTGCTTGGCAGCGCTATAGATCTGCTCATCGTAGAATTCGAGAAGTGAATTTAGATGATTCAGACGAAAGTAAAACTATAATTGAGAAAAGTGATTTAGAATGCATTTTAGAATTTTTACAAGCCGAAGTCGAAGCTGAAGAACGCATTTTTTTAGCCTCTCAAAGTTTCAACACATCGAAACCAAAAGCAGAAGTAAAACATAATCTTTCCTATGAGAAAAAGGTAATAGAGAACAAATGTAAGAGTAGAAAGTTTTCAAATATACCTAGTGCAACAGACCTTCTAACTTCATCTCAAGTATCAAAACAGTGCATATTCTGTTCTAATTCACATTTTTCTAGAGACTGTCTAAAAGTAAAAAAAAAAAAAAAATACCTTTAAGGCAGAGGAAGTCACTGGTTCAACAATCTCACAAGTGTTTTTTATGTTTGAAATCTGGACATTCAGTCAAGGATTGTAACTTGAAAGCTGGTTGCTTGTGTTGTGGTAAAAAAACACCATATTCTTCTGTGTAGAAAGATGCACCAAATAACTATGTCAAAAAACAAAGAATCACCTGAAGTTGAAAAGAAAACTGAGATTAGTGCTGAAGTGGATCAAGCTCTTTCCAATTTATCTTCTACTCCTGACGTAATGCTTCAAACATTCAAAGTTATAATTAGAAGTAATGGGAAAAACGCGTCGCAAGTCGCAAGAGCTATTATCGATACTGCTTCACAGCGATCATATTTATTAAGAAGTACAGCTAAAGAAATGAACTATGAACCTCAGAGTTGTGAATATTTACAACACTCTTTATTTGGAGGGAAGGACTCAGGGATATGCAAGCATGATGTATACACTTTATATTTATCGAGTGTGCATGGGAATTATAATTGCAACTTTAAAGTTCTTAGTCAACAAATTATTTGTAAGTCAGTGCCACCTACTGTCAACAAGCTTTGTCTGAAAGAGTTAGCAGCCTGTAATATAAATATTGTGGATGATTGTCAAAATCCTATTGAGATTCTTATTGGGGCTGATGTAGCTGGAAAACTCATGACAGGTGGTCGTCGTGAGTTGCCTTGTGGTCTCGTAGCTATTGAGACCAAATTTGGATGGTCAGTTATGGGACGAATGCCGAATACTTCGAAAAGTGAGTTTTCATCATCGTTCTTAGTTACATCCTTGTTATCTACTGTGGAGACCATAACAGATCTATGGACTTTGGACACACTTGGGATCACTGACCCATCAGTCAAGAAAAACCAGACTGAACTACAAGAAGCTGCTCGGTTACATTTTCTAAATACAGTTCGTATAGTCGATGATCGTTTCGAGGTTGATTTGATTTGCCCTGGTTGGAATATCATCCACCACTAACAGACTATTTTGACTTAGCCGAGAGAAGACTGAACAAAACTGTTAAACGTCTTAAAATCGAGTCCAATTATGAAGCTTATGGAGATGTTTTCAAGGAATGGCTAGAAGAGGGAGTAATTGAAGAGGCTGATAAAAATTATCAAGGGCAAGTTCTTTACCTTCCTCATCGAGAAGTTATCAAAAAGAATAGCACTACAAAACTCCGACCGGTATTTGATGCTTCGGCCAAAGTAAAGGGATTTCCTAGTCTTAATGACTGCTTAGAAAAAGGCCCAAATCTAATAGAACAGCTTCCGAGTATTTTAACACGCTTTCGAAAAGAAAAGATTGGTGTTATTGCTGATATACGAAGAGCCTTTCTTCAAATAAGTGTTTCACCTACTGATAGAGACTTTTTGCGGTTCTTATGGCTTGATAGTGATGGTCAACTGAAAGTGTACAGGCACTGCCGTGTAGTTTTTGGTGTAGCAAGTAGCCCTTTTCTTCTAAACTCTACTATTCAGCTTCACCTACAAACTGTTTTAGAGAAAATAGAAACCGGTGAATCCTTATATACGAAAGGTGTCATTCAAAAACTTATGCATAGTTTTTATGTTGACAATTGTGTCAGTTGTGTTAAAAATGAAGAAGAACTCAATCATTTTATTAGTGTATCAACTGAGGTAATGGCTGAGAGAAAATTTGAGCTTAGAGGGTGGGAGTTCAATGATATTAATGCTGATGCTTCTGCTGATACAAATGTGCTCGGTTTAATATGGAATAAAAAATCTGACACTCTAAGAATAAATACTGGTAGTATAAAAGAGTTATGTTTTGAAAAAGTGACTAAGCGCTTAATCTTATCTACAGCTCATAGATTGTTTGATCCTCTTGGTATATGTTGTCCTGTTATCCTTATCCCTAAGTTATTACTTCAAGAAACTTGGAAGCAGAAGATAACATGGGATGAAGAAGTTGATACCTGTACGAGAACTACATTTTTAAAATGGTTGAAAGATATTGACTATCTGGAAAAGATCCATTTTCCAAGATATTTTGGTTCAAGGAGTACGAGTGAAAATACTTCAGTACATATTTTCTGTGATGCCAGTAAGCATGCTTATGCCGTGGCTGCTTTCATTCGTATAAAAACTTTTGATTCTACTAAAGTACAACTGATACAAGCCAGGAGTAGAGTTACACCAACTGGAAAAGAAGAAACTACTATCGCGAGATTGGAATTACTTGCAGCTACTATAGCGTCTCGCCTTTCGTCCTCAATTTTGTCTGAGATACAGAGTGAAGAAGTTTACTTCTGGACTGATTCTTCTACTGTTTTAGCATGGATAACGAGAGAAGAAGCCTGGAGTGTATTTGTCCAGAATAGGGTGAAGGAAATAAGAAGACTAACAAATAAAGATTCTTGGAGACATATTCCTGGTTGCATGAATCCAGCTGATCTTCCGAGTAGAGGTTGTTCAGCTCTCTCCTTATTGAAATCTCAGTGGTGGTTAGGTCCAAGTTGGCTTTACTTGCCTGAAGAAGATTGGCCTAAAGGTGACTTAAATTTAGATGAGACTGAGATTGTTAGAGAAAAGAAAAAGAGCATAGTTTCTTCTGTAACAAAATGTTTAGTTTCTGCATGCTTGGTTACCAAGAGAGACTGGTATTACAGATATTTTTCCCAATACAAAAGGATAGTTAATCTAATTGCCTGGATCCTAAGATTCACCTCCAATTGTCGAACTGAAAAAACAGTGAGAAAGCATGGAAACCTTGATTCTGATGAAATTTTTGAGGCTGAGAAGTTATTGATCAAAATGGTTCAAGAAGATTGTTTTGTGAATGAAAAGGATGAGAAATTAAGAACTTTAGGAGTATTCAAGGATCAAAGTGGAATCCTCAGACTAAAAACTAAACTTACCTTTCGTGAGGATACAGAAGACTTTAAAACGCCAGCTATTCTTCCATCCAATCATGAGGTTGTCAAGAGACTAGTGCGATACTATCATGAGAAAAATGCACATGCTGGTACTCAAATTTTAATAAATATTCTACGAGAGAGATTTTGGATTCTGAATGCTCGTAAAACTGTGAGATCTATCATCAATCAATGCACCGTGTGTAGAAGATTTTCTGCAAAGAACCTAGAAACTTGTACTGGGGCTCCTCCAGAAGATAGATTACGAGAAGAAATCTGAGCTGTAGAAACTTGTACTGGGGCTCCTCCAGAAGATAGATTACGAGAAGCAGCTGTATTTGAAATCTGTGGAGTTGATCTTGCGGGACCAGTAATCCTGAAAGGCAACAAGAAATCTTGGATTTGTTTATTCACCTGCGCCATTTATAGGGCAGTCCATTTAGAGTTGGTTGAATCGATGTCTACTGAGAGTTTTCTACTAGCTCTTAGAAGATTTATAGCTCGTAGAGGACGGAGCAGAATCATATACTGTGACAACGGAACCAATTTTGTTGGTGCTTCAAATGTACTTCAAGACTTAAACTGGAAGCAAATCACTGAAGACACATCTATACCACCAATTCAGTGGAAGTTCAACCCACCAACTGCCTCCTGGTGGGGAGGCTGGTGGGAGAGATTGATAGGAATTCTTAAGAAATTGCTGAGACGAGTATTAGGAAGAGCTTCGCTAACTTCTGAAGAAATGAACACGACTCTCTGTGACTGTGAAGCAGTAATTAATTCCCGTCCATTGACATATGTAACTGAAAGTGATGCTACTTTAATGCCTTTAAGTCCATCTCTATTTCTGCAAGATAATCAAATAAGTGGTGTTCCAGATCTTGATGACATTGGGCATAAAAGTCTTAATAAGCGAGTCAAATATAGAGAAAACTTGCAAAAGGATTTGAGAAACAGGTTTAGGTCTGAATATTTAGGAGCACTTATTCAAAAAGCAGGAAACAAAAAATCTGTGAAAGTGAATATTGGTGATATTGTATTGATAGGAAGTGATAACACCAAGCGAATCAATTGGCCATTAGGTAAAATAATTCAGATTCTTCCAGGAAAAGATGGAATTACAAGACTTGTCAAGCTTAAAACAGCTAATGGACACTTGCTAAGACCAATTCAAAGATTGTATCCACTTGAAGTTTCCAACGATGATCCCATTATTGAGAAATTTTCAACCGCGAAGGTGGGAGGTGAAACCTGTGCCAATTCTTCCTTTGATAACGTGTGTGGACTTGAACCTCAGATTCAAAAGACTAGAGCAGGTCGTACAATCAAAGTACCTAAGAGACTGGACTTATGAACTACTTATAATTTCTTTTTGTAACTTATAAAATTCACAATTTTTTGAAATAAATATCATGTGCAACACCATTTCTGCGTGAAGTGAGCTTTCAATCAAGTGTTTAATCGGGTATCCTGTCCAAGCAGTTCGTTCTCGATACATATAGCGCACTCATAGAAAGCTTGCCGACGGAGGAGCGTTGCTAGCCGAATTAGCATCATGGCTCGCCATGAGAGCTAAAATAAAGTGACCTTCGGTCACGGAGGCTGAAGGCAGAATCCTCTCTCTCCGAGCCGAGATGGAAAAGTAGGCGATTGGGGAGGGCTGAATCATTTTTTAGAAAATATAACATGTACAGTCAATAACAAAATTAAAAAAAAAATTACTGAAAATCGTTATTATTCTTACGTTAAGTAAATACTTAGCCAATATATCTCTTATTTAATATATATTTATAGAAATTTTTATTATGATCTTTACAATTCTTTATAACATATACATAGGATATGATTGAATTTATGCATATTTTCAAACAAATATGACAATATTTGTCTTCATTTTTCAAAATAATGTAAATATGTATTTAAATATAGATGAGTTATATTTTCCTTACTTGTATATGTATTTCTTTTCATTACCATAATGAATAGACACTGTATAATATAAATTATTCTAATAAAATGCACAGAATTATGTCTTCTTTCTTTAAATACTCTTCATTGAATTGCATATAATACAATAATGCTTTAGATGCAGTACTTCCTAACAAAAAAAAAAATTAGCTGTATAGAAAAGTGGGATAATCTTAGGAATATGGTAACAGGTAGTTTGGCGACATTTTGGTAAGGCGATAAAGGTTACTAGCTAGGACTTTAGTAACAATCTGAGAAGTACACAGTTCCAGTCACAGATTATTTTGTGGTGACTTTTATAATGGACACAGTCCCGGATCTAGCGGGGGGTGCAAGTCGGGGTTCGTGCCCCGGGCGGCGACTTTCGAGGGCGGCAAATTCAAATATAACGCTGGATCGTTTTGGTATGTTGTTTGCTATAACAGCTCTGTAATTTTAGTACAATGTTAATAGTTTTAAAGCCATGTTTAAAAACCTTTTTTGCAGCTAGTCGGCAACTTAGGCTCACTTTGGTTTGACTCGGAACAGTGGAGTGCATTTTGGATTTTTAAGCTAGATTTATTATTTTTACGGTTTTTTAGTTTTTAAGTCTCTTCTGTACTCTTTTTTTTTTTTTTTTTTTTTTTTTTTTTTTTTTTTAAGATGTGCTTGCTTTTAATAGTCCGCACTATATTTAGCGAGATGCGACCATTTATTAAGAGGCAATTTTCGTAGTGAATTTTATTTAGATTAAAAGAAACCATCTGCGCGCCGAGGGGGAGAAAAGCGGAATTCGGAAAACGAGCTACAGATAAGGCCAAACAAAGAAAAAAAAAAATTCAGCTAAGATGAAAAAATAACTTCACGAAAGAAGTAAATTATCAGACCCTGTCGCAATTCCGATTATGCTGAGATTCTAGAGGGTATTAATATTTCTTGCAATTTGCACGACCAAACATGACTGCATATATCATCCCAAACAATCTACAATTTAGCATTAGAAAAAACAACCTTCTTCATCGACATCAAACGAATAGCTGGAGGACATGAAACCATGATATAAAGATCTCTTCATTTATATGGGGGGCGGGCAGCAGAAAGACGAAAAACTAAAAATATTTGATTTGCTGGAAGCATGAAATTGGCTCGTCATAGAAAAAAAATCTGTTGTGTACACCACATGACTTCCTTGTACGAAATATTAAATTATACGCACTTTTTTCTTGAATTTCATTTAAATTGATTGGATTGAATTAAATCTACTTCGTCGACAGCGCATATATCACAATAGAATAAATGCACTCTTTAAAATTCACTATATTTGTTTACTATAACGACACTCTGAATGCACAAAATTTATATCATTTGAAGAATTATCGTTGCCACATGTTCTATTTAAATACTATAATAAAGCTAAAACGATGTATGAAAGAAATTAAGTAAACAAAACAGAAAAGAAAGTTTTTCACAGACGATTTAGTAAATCTCATTCAATTAATTCAGCTCTCACTTCGCGACAAGGCAAAAATACATAAAAACTCAAAATATCTGCATTAAAAATTACGAAGTAAATCTTAAACTCTTATTTCCTCGAAAAAATTCCAGAAAGGATTAAGCATGATTTAATTCGCAATAATAAATGAAGGCGTTATTTTTGTGTTGCGAAGCTTAGTTTCTCTAGATTGGCAACAAATCCAATTCTCCTGTTTCAAATGTAAACATCAATGTCCGCCATCAAAAATTATTAGGTTTAGCGCACTTAAACAACTTTTAAATTGTTGATAATTCTAAAAATATTGCATTCCAGAATTTACGAAAGGCATAAAAACCTTAACCGGGAGATAAAAACAACATAATTCAATCATTTTTAAAGCAAAAAATGTACAATTTACAAACATATAAGAGTAAAGATACTGAGATCACTGAGCCGTGTAACAGAGTGGATATATGTATAAATATATTTATATACGTTTGGTGCGGCCGATTGCAACCAAAATACGAGGTGCACATCTACATGTTATAGCAGTCCTATATACAAAATTTCAACGTTCTGAGGCTACTCGTTTTTGAGTTATGCGAGATACGTGCGCACGTACGTACATACGTTCGTACAGACGCCACGAAAAATTCTCTTCAGAATTAATTTTAAAGCAGTTTTATAATTTTTTTGGAGGAAAGGTGTCTTTTATTCTGTCCTTACGCACAGATATCACGCAAAAAAATCGTTAAATTGCATTCGAAAGCGGTCAAATGGATATTTTCGTTGAAATA